AATATTGAGAAAAGTGCAATTGTTTTTAGAGAAAACTTGGTACAAGTGATCGTCGGGAAGAGTTAGTGATTTGCGTCCAAAATTTATTTAAACCCACCTAGATATTCTAAATATAAAAAAAAATTGAATCGAAATTAATTTTGAATAGCTCTAATTATACTGTATAATTTTTTTTATATACGAATTTTTTGTTGATAAAAGCAATGAACCAAGTAAAAATTAAATAAAATTTTTAGTGATAATTATCATTATTATTTCTAACAGCTTGAAACTACCCAGCTTCAAATGATTCCATTAATATTTTGGTATGTAAATCTGTTTTTTTAAAAAAAATTAGAATCGAAAAATAACTAAATATAATTAATAATGAAATTATAAAAATGAAATTTAAAAAGGAGTCGATTGTGGTGACTTAGTGAAGTTGGTAAGTTGTCACTCCTCCAAATGGCAGGTCTAGAGTTCAAATCCCACTGGCGACGATTTTAAAAAATAAGATTTGTTTCGGTAACATTTATTCGATAATCGGTTGGGCGTACTACCTGTAGCCTTGGTACCACCATCTTGAATGAGGGCTTTCGAGCAAAGTTGTGTGACATCACACAGACAAAGCCAAAGAACCGAAATAATTAAAACCTATTTGGAAAGACCCGAGCAAGGAAGTAGTGAAGATCTTCGATGATACTGCAGAAGCCGGAAGCCCAGAAACCAGAGACTGAAGAACTGGACAAATAACCCTGGGGCAAAAAGGGTTCACCAACCTGGCCACCGGAGTCACACTAGAAGAAAAGGTCCTATGCTGTAGAATTAGAAACCAAAGGAAGGGAACCATCGGACACTTAAAGTCTAGGTATACCAACCTATCCAGGCTAACTGATTTGGAAGTTTGGGAGAGATCGGTATAAGGACTGGAAGGAAGGTAGATGTAGGTATCGGGATTGAAATGAACCTTGTAAAGGCAGGGAACCAGGAATTGTGCGGTTTAATAATTAGCCCTGACCGCTAGTGTTGGTCTTGGCTATAGCAGACAGGTTCTCTGAACCTAATTTGGAAATGTGTGGGATATAGAAGAATTAGGGAGGCAGCCACTACGCCCACCTGTGGGGACCCTAGAGAAACCAGCGGGGTAACCAAATTCAGGTAAGTGAGTGGGGGCACTTCGGTATAAAGGTATCTGGCTTAGAATAATTGGTGGGTATGTACAATCAGAGGGTTTAAATAGATAATCCCTAGTCGGATTATAGGCATGGCATCTAGTGTAGAACCTTCGGGCAGACTACTTAAATAGACAACCAAAAGTTGTACATGTGACTAGTTGTATTCTCATTGTAATACTAAATGTAAGACCCACGTGGTCAACAGTTAAACATCAATAAAGCTCAGTCCCGAAGGACACCTTATAAAAAAAAAAAAAAAAAAAAAAAAAGGAGTCAGACGAATATCCGGTAACTTTATCGAGTAAAAAAAGTAATGATATTATCGTCTTATATAAAAAGAGAAAAAAGAACAAGTCTAATATAAATAAAGATTGTACCCCAGAAAACCAGCTTAATTATGAGTATGTTAATAATCTTCAGGTACAGTAAAAAAATTAATTCAATAATATATTATTTCCTTATTATTATTTTTATTATTGCTTAATTGCATTGGTTTTCATAATTGGCCTCTGGCTTTTTTTAAATTTTTATATTTAAAATTTTATAAAAAATTTTCTAAACCTACGGTTTATGAAATCAATCAATTAATTATTTTTGAATAGCTCTAATTAAAAATTTTTTAAACAGGAATTTTTTGTTGATAAAAGTAATGAATCAAGTAAGAATTAAAATAAAAATTTTTAGTGCGATTATTATTAATTATTTCTAACAGCTTGATACTATCCATCTTCAGATGATTCTATTTTGGTATATAATATTTTTATTATTATCTAAAATGTTGATTTACAATATTCAACACTAATATAATGAAAATCTATAGGTTGAAGATAATGATTCAGATGAAGAAATCGAAGAACAAGAAAATTTAGTTTGAAAGCGCCAAATCAACTGAAGATATAAAGCATCAAAAAAAGCAAAAAAAAAGTTGTTAAAGATTTGTCAGAGGGAAGTTCTTTACCTAGTATTGAAGTTTACTCAGTAACTATAAGCATTTCTCTATAAGCATTTTTAGTTTTGTTGGTGGTTGTCAAAAATACTGTATTAAATATAAAAATTTCTATTTCTTACCAAGAAAATCATTAATACAACAGAAACAACTAAAATAGCAATAATAGTTCTAATAAAATCAATGAATCAACATTAATTATTAATAAACTATTGAAAATAACTTTGAAAAATAGCCAACAGGCTAATTATTCAATTGACGAGGTTAGATTGTTTATCTGGTTACATTATTATGTTCTAATAGTAAATGAATCTTTTCATTGTTTGTTTTAAGATTGCACAGGATTCATTACATGAAAATAGGTTTGATGTGCACAATAATCAAGTATGAAACCATAATATGCTTTTATGATTGAAAATAACGCAAAATTTTAACATACAAATTTTAAATACATTTAGCAATAGGATATCCTTAACAAAAGCAATAGCTCAAAAGTATGTATATAAAAAAACTTGACTAACTCTTCAGTATTATTAATATTAATATCTTATTCATTTTTTTTAAAGACAACTATAGTAGAATCTTCAAATTCAAATGATTCAGAGTTTTCAGATTTAGATGATAACACTAATTTAGTATGTACTTTATAATTTGACCTTTCGTTAAAAATTTATAAATGGATCACTGAAGCAAATAAATTAAATCTAATCTTTTAATTTTTTATACCTAAAAGAATATTAGTAGAAAGAGAAAGGCTTTTGAAAAAAAAGAAAAAGGTAATAAATTTTAGGTTTGCTAATGCTGTTACCATAATAATGATAATGCCCAGTGCGTTATTTTGAACTTTGGCCAGAATTAAGCTTAATTTAGGCCAAAATGTAGATTTACTCATGGGTGTTATTTGCTTGAGTAATAACTAATTGTTATATTTATTATAATAATTATAAGTAGAGCCAGATACGAATTTCAAGAATTGTATATCTATATATATAGACAAATTAAAGAGACTAAAGAAAAGTTTCGCAGCAGAAAATCCAAGCAATTTATTCAAAATGTATACAAAACCACCTGAAAAATACTTTAAAGAGAATCCAACAGAAATATCATTAAATCCATTACCAAGTCATATAAAGGATGTTAATGGTTGTCTCAATTATCTTAATATTTGGAATCAACACTTTAATCATTGTGAAAAAGTGATTAATGATCAACAATATTGAAGAATTGAACTCATATATTCTTTATCTGAATTGTTTTTCATTTTACTTGCTCTTTGTTTGCAAGAACAACAGGAAGAGTTAAGCAAAAAAACTACAAACTATTGGAAAGAGAACAATATAAAAACATGAATGTATGAGAAATTGGTAAATAAGAATAAACATGGTATTCTAATAAAATAGACAGCTTGTTGGAGAATCCATCATATCCTTTGGGTGACCAATATAATGCCAAGAGAGCTCATAAATGTTGATTTAAATGCAACATATTTTCTTATCACAACTAATAAAGAGTATAATTTCTTAATCAAGGAATTAATTAGAAATGAAGAATTCCTTGACTTCACTAATCCTAAAGGTGAAAATATATTAGACTTAGTTGAATTTGCAAAGAACATTTATTCAGTTTAGTTTAATTATTGCAAAGAAAATTTAATCAGTTTAGATTTATTAATTGAACATTAATATCAATCATAAATAATCTAGATCAATAGATCAAAATATAACTTATATAGTAAAATTTATATTTTTGTACTCTGAATTGTAAATTTTTTTTGCTCAAAAATAAAATTCGAATTTGATAATATGCTGATTTCAATTTTAAAATGAAAAATAATGTGAGATTGGTGGAATCAGATTATAATGTCCCAGAATATTTTGACATTTAATTGAGCTTAATGTAAGCCAAAATATTTAAATTACATCTTGGGTGCTATTTCAAGATGATATAGTATTTCCATAAGTTTTATATCTGTTTTAATTATATTTTAATAAATAATTTTTGAACTCATTTCATTTTCCGATGGCATCAAGTTGCCGTCGGAGATGAAATGAGTTTAAGATGTACTAACTTTTTAATGAATTGTATAATACTGTATAACAGTCATTTGACCGATGTTTATTCTAAATTTTTTTGTTTCATAGAATAATTATTAAGAACTTTTCTAAGACACTATGTGATTTTCATAGAATTATCTTAATTTTACCGAAAATAGAATTATTTGTCACAGAAATTAGAATTTAATAATATTGCATTATTACTTAAACTATTGTAAACTTTGTTCAAAGCATCACATGATTTAATGGTCCAATGGGTTGATTATATTATTCATTCTGCATTATTAGTATTCTTCAAAATATTCTGCTACACAAAAATCTACAGACCTTGGAGTTACTGAAGGTTTGCATAATCCCAAAAGATACTATCGTAATGGATTCGGCATTAAAAAAAGCTTAGAAAAATTGTTCACTTTATTCAAAAAGTCTGCATAAATGAATAATATATATGAGTTGTTCGAATTAATTCTACCAAAATTATATTTACCAGAGTTACTAATTAATTCTACCAAAATTATATTTAGAGTTCGAAATAATTCTACCAACATTATGTTTACCAGAGTTACTAATTAATTCTACCAAAATTATGTTTACCAGAGTTAGGAATTAATTCTACCAAAATTATGTTTATCAGATTTGATCTAAGTCTGGTAAGAAGTTTTGTTAAATTTTCCTAACACATTTATTTTTTTGCTTATAAAATTGGCTTTAAAAGAAATCAAAAAAAAAGAAACGTACAAATGCTTCAGATTTATAAGTTAAAAAGAAGGAGAAAAAAAGAATGCCTGAAGCTGATTCTAATAGTACATGAGTTTATATACATTTCATATTTTTCAAACCTACATATTCTAAATTATAAATTTATATACTTTTATTGTAATTAGTAAATGAATTAGCATATGATTCAGAGCAAATAATTGGTAAGTTAAAAAGAATTTACTCAAGTTTAAACTAATCTTACTAATTAAAAATTCTAGACTCCAATAATAAAATTGAAAGGAATAGGGCCCTTCTCTTAAAAAATAACTTTAGAAACTTTCAAAATAGTCAATTAATAGTATATGGAGATAGGCTTTTTTTAAAAAATTCAATAGAATATCTCTTAACCACAAATTTCAATTACATTTTTAATTCTAACGATGCAATTAATTTTTCCTCTTCATTATTCTCTTATTCGACAAATAATATCGAATCATTGAAGAACTATTTTAAAGTGTGGTCTTTGCAGTATGATCAACTTAATTTAACAAAGTCTCGAGTGAAAGAGAAAATGTTAGAAATATTATATGAACTTAGGGGAGCATATCTATCATTACTCGTAATGCTATCAAATGGATATAAACAAAATATGAAAAGGCTTCCAACTCAGAAAACCCTGCGTGGTTTTGTTACAGAAAAGATCAAATCGATTTTAAATATTGACGATAGACAAGAGCGAAAATATTGGAGATGGACATGGTGACTTATAGAATTACTCAACATAACACATTGTCCAGCATCAATTCTCATAAAATCTGTACGGTCAGATTTCTGATGATATGTGAAAATGAAAAATATGACCAGTTCTTAAATAATCTTTTGGATGATGCTGGAGCCAGTTACGAAATGCCCATATTCGATGAATCTTTGATTCAGAGGTTAGTGTAATATGATTTTGCGGTTCCCATGGGACTGCTAAATCATGTAATCTTATGGCAACGATAATTTATTGAAATTTATTGATACATAATATTTCTAAGAATTAGAAATAAGAGCCTTGTATTTTTAAGTTGGTTTATTGTAGAGATGGATACTTACATTATTTTTTGTATATATACAAAGAACAATATTATAATTTTTCTTTTGAAATGAAAACATAGCAAGCGTTCTTTGATGATATAAACAAACATATGATAAGTATAATTATTGTAACTATTTTAGAATTAAGACATTGTATCTCTTACCCGTGAGTAGGTCAATTGAAAATTTAATTGTTTTCAATAATTATAGGATTGTGTAATATAGTGTTATGTAATTTTTTAAGCTTAAAAAATAGCTTATAAGCTTATATGAAAGTATCAATTTGTTTTAATATGAAAGCCTATTAAGTTTTAAAGGCTTTTTTTAAAACCTATTTTCAAAAGTTTTATTATAATTTTAAAATTAGAAGTAAACAATTTAATTTTAAAACCAATTTATCTAGTCATATTATTTTTGTTCTGAACAAAGTTATTTATTGTTTAGTTGATTGTAATACATACTGTACAGTATTTAAAATAATGCACAAGTTGTAATCTAATAAATAACTTATTATAAAAATTATAAATATAACTTTAATTTGTTTTACTTCTAATTATTTGTCATTTATTTTATTTTGTATTTGAGAAGGCTTGCACTATGATTTATTAAGTTATATGCAGATCGCCTTACAACTTTAGTTATCTATTCTAAAGGGTCTTCCTGAAGTTCCCTACTAGCTGCCATACCTAAGATCATATCTAAGATCCACCTGTGTGTACCTACTTTATTTTTATTTCTTACTGAAATCACAAACTACTCATCACTAAAAAATTACTAACTTACCTATTACTAAAATTATGAACCCAAACATTTGAAATAACTAATCTAACCATTCATTATTGAAATCATAAACTCATTTATTGTTGAAATCATCAACCCACCATATACCTATTAATATTTATTATTAGTCATTCTTTTCAAATAAAATCTTAATAAAATTTTCTTTCTATATTTAATGTAAAAAAAACTTTTCAGCTAGATGAAATACGTAATTCATTGATCACTTTTAATTATTTGATTCAGACCATTTTCCTATGGCCTAAGAAAATGAACTGAGCTTTTAATTATTTGATATTAAAATCATTATTGCATCTGGTGATATGTGTTATAATCAGAAACTAATAATAAGTTTATATTTTTCAGTCGGGTTACGTGTAAAATCTTGTCGATTTTCTTTGTTCAAAAAGTTTACTGTATTTAGGATTGATTTATTAACTGCAGCAACCAAGAACAAATTATTGTCGAGAGATTTCTAATTGACCCACGTATACTTGTTTATTATAAATCCTACCCCTAAACACTAATCATACCCTGAAAAAATGCTAAACAAATGCACCTCAAAAATTTGTTTTCGGTGGCTTGTCTATTTGATATTATCACTCATTTCATATTAATCTGATTTCATTTTAATCCGACACAATTATTAATCATAATATTCCTAATGAATGTCATCATCATAGAAAGCAATAGAAATGTTAGTAACATTATTATCAGCTTATCTTTTTTCTTATTTTATACATATATTTTCAATGATAAATCTGGCAAGTACGATGTTTTACAATTTTTGTTATTTAAAGCATTATATATATGAAGTGAAAAATATCATCCAATTGTTGAAATTGAATGGGTTAATATGGTATAAATTTTTTTGTAAAAACTTTGCTGTTGAAAAATATTATCTGGCAGCACCATTAAATATTATGATATTAATATTATTTAATAATAAATTTATAATTCAAGTGTAAACTTTATGGAGCAACCTAACGATTCACTTCCTACCACTAAAGATGATGCGCGTAGTAATAACTGGGTTAGAAATTCTAGTTATAGTTTCTAAACAAAGATCATTTTTTGCTTATAAAAATTTTTTTAAAAAGAAATCAAAATAGAAAATGCATGAATGAATAGTGTTAAAAGAAGGAGAAACAAAACATGCAATATTCTTCGCCTTAAGCTGATTTTAACTCTAATGGTACATTAGTTATATATTTTTAAAGTCTGCATATTCAAAATTACCAATTGATACACTTTTATTATTGTGATTACAGCACAGTCGTGCGCAAGTATTTTAACTGAAGAATCGCAAATAATTGAGTGAAAAAGAATTTACTCAAGTTTAAAGCAAAATCTAATTCCTAAAATTTCACAGACAATATTGATGTAACTAAAAAAAATAAGGCACTTTTCTTTAAAAATAACTTTAAATTATTCAAAAAAGTCAGTTAATAGTATATTAATAGACTTTTTTCAAAGAATCGATCAATTAAAGAACTTTTAGTCACCTTTTTAAGCTATTAATATTTTACCATTACCTTCTTATTCGACCGATATGAAATCATTAGAATACTATTTAAACAATAGGTTTTACAATATAATCAACTTGAGTCTACAAAGGTAGAGGTTGAAAAGAAACGCTAAAACTGTTATATGAACTTAGGAAGCATACTTTATTCATAATTCTAGCAGGAGAGCATGAACAAGATAAGAAAATGCTTCCAACTCACAGAATGCTGCGTGGGTTGGTGGGAGAAAGAGTCAAATCTATTTTGGGAATTGGTGAAAAACAGGAGTGAAAATATTGGAGAGAGACGTGACATCTGATATAATTATGCAATGTTGGCCAGATGTCTAATGGTAAAAGAAAATGAAAAATACGACCAGTTTTTAAAGGATCTTTTAAATGATACTAATGCCAGTCACAAAACGCCCAAGTTCGATGAATTTTTGATTCAAAGGTTAGTGTATAATTATATGATTTTGCGGTCCCATGGAACTGCAAAATCATGTGATCTTATTGCAAAGATAATTTATTAATATCATTAATAAATTTTTATTTACTCCTAAGAATTAGAAATAAGGTTCTAATGTATTAAAATTGCAAAATGCTATACATGTATTGATTTTTTGTGTGCCTATTGTGAATAATATTATAGGTGATTATATTTTTTTTAGAAATGAATTATATAGCAAATGCTTATTCAATAATATAAACAATAATTAAATGTAGAATGATTGTGTCAGAAATAAAATGCAATTTGTTTTTAAGCATTAAAAACAGTTTATGAACTTACGTGAAAGTATCAATTAGTATTGATGTGAAATCTATTTTGTTCTAAAAGCCTTTTTTAACCTTTTCCAAAAGATTTATAATAATTTATTAATAGTTTAAATAATATAAGTTTCAGATGCCTTTTATAGAAAAACAAACTATTCAGCTCACAAATACAGTAATATCTTATTTTAATAGCAAAATATTTTTTAGTTTAAATTTTGAAATAATAAAATATTATTCAAGTCTGTAGTTGTTACTTATTATTATACAATATATTTAGAGAATTGCTATTTTCACCCCCATTTTTGCTAATGCCACCACAGATATCAAAAATAGATATTTTTATTAAGTAAACCTTTTTTTGATTTTAATAAAAGTTGTTCATCAGGTCTTTCCGGTTCTAATGGTAGTAAAATTATTAGTAGTTCCTAAGATATATATAGCTGAAGTTATTTAATATTTATCAGTTATTTACTTAAAAAAAACCATCAGTCTGATTTTAATGATTCTACCAGAAAGCAGGGATGTTAAATGACCAGGTCATTTGCCAATTTTATAAATGTTCTGAAACGGTCATTTATCATTAATATTGTAGATTTTTCGTCTACCGATGTTTTGTATATTTCTATACCACAAGCAGGTTTTCGTGGTGTAGGCCTCATCCTAGATGATGATTTTGATACCAGTCTCTTTAGCTTTAGATTTCAGCCTTTGTCTGAACATGTAATGCGACCACGTTAACATGCTTCTCACGACCTTGAATCTGATCTTTCGCTTTTCCCTTTTCACCATGTTTTTCATACCAAATACTAGAATCATGACCACATCATAATCTTTCACAAGATGGTTAATGGTTTTTCTGTGGAGTTTATTTCTCAGGTTCTTGATCTTTCGAAATATTCGAGCAATGGCTTTATCGATCCTCTTGGCCTTTTTATTTTTTCTTTTGGATAATAAGTTGTTTAGCCAGTCTCTTCTTGAGCTTAGCTTGCGGCATGATATCCCAACCTTATCAGCCTCTGAGAATCACTCTTACCGATCTCGCTGACACTCTTGGTTGGTGAGTACATCACAAATGGGGCTCTTACTTCAGGATCGATAGCCACAAACTTTTCTTGAGATCTCTCAGGTCTCTTTTGTTGTTCATGAACCTATGAGAGGATCCATTCATTTGTTTTTTTGAAATACATGAGCTTGCAGTCATTATTGATCCTGTTCAGCCAGATGTTGTAGCAGGTGAAACTATGTTTTGTTCAATGTTCTGATCTGTATTCTGATCAACACTTAGATTATTATCTTGATCTTTATAATTACTTCACGATTTGTATTTTTTTAATTTATTTGGGTGACATTCCAAATAATGTTTTTTTAATTAGCATTAGAAATATTTGTGATATAGTTCATATCACATTGATTACAAGTATATCTATCTGAAACTTGTATTTGATGAAATAGCTCTGTTTTAATTTTCATTTTAATTTTTTAAATATTAACAAAGAAAAATTACTAAATATATAAATAAAAATGTAACCTAATCATAAAACATAAAACAAGAGGAATTCTGCAGAGCTCAAATCTATATTGAAGAAATTCTGCAGAACTCAATCTATATTGGAGAAATTCTGCAGAACTCAATTTATATTGGAGGAATTCTGCAGAACTCAAATCTATATTGGAGAAATTCTGTAGAACTCAAATATTGGAGGAATTCTGAGAAACAAATCTATTTCTAAGGAATTCTGCAGAACTCAAATCTATATTAGAGGAATTCTGCAGAACTTAAATCTATATTGGAGAAATTCTGCAGAACTTAAATCTATATTGGAGGAATTCTGCAGAACTCAAATCTATATTGGAGGAATTCTATAGAACTTAAATATTGGAGGAATTCTAAGAAACAAATCTATTTCTAAGGAATTCTGCAGAACTCAAATCTATATTGGAGGAATTCTGCAGAACTCAAATCTATATTGGAGGAATTCTGCAGAACTCAAATCTATATTGGAGAAATTCTGAGAAACAAATCTATTTCTGAGGAATTCTAAGAAACAAATCTATTTCTGAGGAATTCTATATGGGAGGAATTTTGCAGAACTCAATTCTTTTCTAAGAAATTCTAAGAAACAATTCTATATTAGAGGAATTCTAAAAAACTCAATCTATATAGGAGGAATTCTGCAGAACTCAATTCTTTTCTGAGAAATTCTGAGAAACAATTCTATATTGGAGGAATTCTAAAAAAACTCGATCTATATGAGAGGAATTCTGCAGAACTCAATTCTTTTCTGAGAAATTCTAAGAAACAATTCTATATTGGAGGAATTGCACAAAATCTTATCTATAATAATTTTTAATCATGTGAATTATTTTTAAGTTAATCGTTGAAAAAATCAACCAATTATATCATATCATTTATTTCTTATTTTTTTGTCGTTTCTGTTTCTTCCTACTCAAGTCTCTAAGAAACTAAGTGTGTAGTGGGCCAGACATTCATGATAAATAGACAACAAACATGGATATCAAGTTTGAAGCATATCGCGACTTGTGTAAGTCATAATTACACTTAAACAACAATTTTACTATTATGTCAATAAAAACACATTTATTTCTGTTCAGTAAATAATTAAAATAGAAGCATGCAAGCACAAGCGCGATGCAGCTTGCGCTTTAAACAAAATTCAATGAGAGAAGTGGTGGGTGAACTGCTTCAGTAGCCGACTAGAAGCCAGACACTCGTGATGAATGGTCGTTGTCAGTGGCCAACTAAACAACAAACATGAATCTCTTATGATTACAACATATCGTGACTTTGTTTAATGCATTTCCAATTAATTTTCAAAAACAAATTGAAAATATTATAATATGACTTATAGTCTTATAATTGTGTTACTAAAATGTCAATAAAAACACACATTTATTTCTGTTCAGTAAGTAATTAAAAATGGCAGCATTATTCTGAAAACAATTGTTTAACGAGAATACTGAAACGAAAAAGTTATATTGTAAAATTAAAACCTGTAATCAACCATTTGTTCTAAATGCAAAGTATCAATCATTACACACGCATTTAAAAGATATCACATCGAATCACTCGATGATTTCAACTTAGAAAACAATATAAAGGATTGTTCCAATAATTAATAAAATTCTAATCAACAATGTGCTCTTCCATTAGGAAACAAAATTAGAGATACCTTATTTTATATCAAACAAAGAAATAATGAAAAAAAATTTTGTAAAGTATGTGACAAATCTTTTAAAATCAAAACTGTTCTTTTCAGCCTCAGAAGACATTATGCAATGTTTTACCAAAATGAATTAAGTACTTTCGAAAAAAAATTTAAAAATGTTGAACTTGAAAATCACAATAATGTGAATTATGTTAAAGATATTGTTTTTGACTTTGTTAATCAAAAAAATATTGTAGCCGAATTTGATTTAATAAATAAAGAATTCTCCAAAATCTTATCTATGAATAAGGTTGTATATCAATTTTTTTAATTTTTTTATTCAAAGTAAGAATTCTCCAAAATCTTATCTATGAATAACAGTTGAATATCAATTCCTCCAATTTTTTTATTCATAGTAAGAATTCTCCAAAATCTTATCTATGAATAACGGTTGTATATCAATTCCTCCAATTTTTTTTATTCAAAGTAAGAATTAAATCAATTCCTCTGAATTTTTTATTCAAAGTAAGAATTCTCCAAAATCTTATCTATGAATAACGGTTGTATATCAATTCCTCTAATTTTTTTATTCAAAGTAAGAATTCTCCAAAATCTTATCTATGAATAACGGTTGTATATTAATTCTTCCAATTTTTTTATTCAAAGTAAGAATTCCCTAAAATTTTATCTATGAATAATGGTTGTATATCAATTCTTCCAATTTTTTTATTCAAAGTAAGAATTAGATTAATTCCTCTAAATTTTTTATTCAAAGTAAGAATTAAATCAATTCCTCTGAATTTTTTATTCAAAGTAAATATTATACAAAATATTTATCTATGAACAGAGGAATTGCTAAAATTTTTTATTTGAATTCTGGAATTCTATATCACGTGAACTTTAATGAAACCTCTAAAAATATACACTTTAAAAATCTTTTGAAAAATTGACTAATTACATTATATCTTTATTTCTTTAAATAATAAAAAACATCAATCATAGCATAACAAGTGCATTAGCACAAGTGGAGCGATCTGCAACTAGAGTACAAGCGTGGCGCAGCTTGCCCCTCACAAAAATTCAATGAGTGAAGTGGTGGGTCCATAGGTGGGTGGCTTCAGTGGCCGACTAGAAGCTAGATACCCATAATGAATGGACGTTGTCAGTGGCCAACTAGACAACAAATATGAATTCACAAATTACTTGTACAATCACACCCAAGTTCATTAAAAAAGTCGTAATTGCACCTCCACAAATTTAATTGTATTCGTATTTAATATGTATATATATGAACTAAAATAATATTTAATTCTTTATTTAAAAAATATCAAAATTTCATTTTCTAATAAAAATTCTACAATTAATCCACAATTCCTATTTAAAGATTCGACAAACTCTTTAATAAACAAAAATTTACTTTCATTATAATTATTTACATAATTTTCATTAATTTGAACAGTGGTTTCCGAGTGATCAGTATCTTTATCAATTGATGCGATTTAATTTTTGCGTAAATAATTTTTTAATTGTATAATTGTATCTTTTTTTTCAATTAATTTTTCTTTGCGTTTGAAGTTTTCTTTATCATCATTATATTGATTTGGAGATTCAAATTCTTTTAAATCATTAGAACAAGTGTCTATATCAGAATCTTGAACTTAATAAAATAGTCATTTTTTTAAAAAAATTTTTAAAGAAAAAACCACCAAATATATAATCATAAATGTAACATAAAATTAAAACATAACGATAAAACCAGGAAAATCTTTCTTATCTGGAGTCTATATAGGAGAATCCTTCTCACCTGGAGTCTATATATAAGAATCCTTCTCATCTGGAGTCTATATAGGAGATACTACAGAATTCCTCTTATATTGATAGGAATTCTAAAAACTAATATCTATGTGAGAGGAATTGAATTAAATTACGCCGAAATATTTATTCATAGTAAGAATTCAATTAAATTTTTTTATTAATAAGAGAAATTGGATGATTTTTATTTATTAATGAACTTTAATGAAAAATCTCGCATAGCAAGCGTAAGCACGCGTCATGACCTGCAGCTGATTTGCAAGCGTGGTGCAGCTTGCCTCTCACAAAAATTCAATAAGGGAAGTGGTAGGTCCATGGGTGGGCAGCTTCAGTGGCCAACTAGAAGCCAGACACTCATGATGAATAGACATTGTCAGTGGCCAACTAGACAACAAACATGAATGACTCAATTAATCAAAAAATAAAAAAAACTACAACATTTTTATTTAATTTTAATTTCATATATTTAATTTGGTCGATGAGTTAAAAATACATTCTTAAGATTATCTAATGGTGCATTAACTGGTAAAATAACAATTTTTTTTAATATTTTTATGCAGCTAATAAATACATGTCAATATTTAATAATAAGAATCCTTTAGAGTAAAATCTTAAAAGGATTGTTTTTGATAAATTATTAAAATGATCAATTATGGTAAAGATATCATTAACATCAGTGTTTTTCCTTTTATCGCGTATAAAAAAATTTGTTTCATTTTTATAATCGCCTATAACATCAATTCCAGGATATTCCAAATAAATAAGTTGACTGTGTTTTTAATTATTATATTTTATGTCTTCGTTGTAAATTGTATAACTAGTGCATATTTTATAAAGAGACCTTCAATCTTCAAATCATTAGTTTTCAAACAACTAAAATCAGATTCATCAAATCTAACAGTTTTTGTAGTGAAGTAATTATTCTTATAATCTTGTACATTATTAGTAATTTCAGATACGTTATTACAGAGTTTAATTTTATCAGAAAAATCTTCTCTAATTCTTCTACAATAGTAATTGCCAGTTTTTTGTATTTTTATAAGTTGTTTTAATTTCCTTTAAATTCATTAATATAATAATGTCTTCTTTTATATTCTTCAACTTTTTTTTGTTAATTTCGAAATTTTCGAAAGTTAAATTTTTTTTTTTGTCAAATTTATTTCATGTTTTATATTGTGCAACAAAAATATATATGCAACTCAGAATATATAGAAAATTAGTCAAAATTCTGAAAAATTACGATTCTAAAAAAAGATCCCTTAAATAATGATGTTATTATAAGAATGCAGCAAATTTTCATAGAAGAAAATGATTAATTAGTTTTTACATTTATTTTTTCCAGCAGATTAATATATTATTACTTATTTTATGTCACAGATTGTCACAGATCATAATGAAATCTGATCAAAATAAAACTGGGAACCTCTCATGCCCACCTTTAGAGCCTATAAAACCCACATATACTCATTTATTAATAAACCTAACCCTAAACCCTACCCCTAATGCTA